GTTGGAGAGGCTTGAGAAGGACATTGGAATGCGCGGCGTTACACTTGACTGGTTCCGTTCATATCTCTCTAATCAATGCCAACAAGTCTGTATTGATGGATCTCTGTCCAAGCAATGCCATCTCAACTGTGGGGTACCACAAGGTTCCTRTTTGGGTYCTCTACTATYTGTTATGTACACTTCTACGCTGTTCAAGCTTATTGAACGTCWTCTCCMAAAGGCCYATTGTTATGYCGATGATACTCAGCTATACGTGAGTTTTAAGCCTGATGATGCTAACGCGCAGGATGAGGCCATTCGCGMAATGGAGGAATSTATTAAAGATATAAGGAACTGGCTGATTAAAGGCAGACTCTTACTAAATGATGATAAAACTKAATTTCTAGTAATTGGAACTCTTCAAMAATTAAATAAATTAAATCCGTCAGTACTTCATGTAGGTGATCATACGATTGATCCTTCTGTTAAAKKTAGGAACTTGGGAACTATTTTTGACAATTCAATTAGTATGGATGCTCWTATAAATCAAGTTTGTAAGGCTGCTTTCTATCATATTCACAATATTCGCCGGATTTCAAAATACYTTTCTCAGGATTGCCTTAAAACATTAGTCCATGCTTTCATTACGTCYAGACTAGATTATTGTAATAGCTTGCTGTATGGCCTTCCTAAATATCAGATCACTAAGCTACAACGCGTACAAAACACTGCTGCCAGATTAATTACGAACACTAGAAAGTATGAACATATTACACCCGCTCTATATAACCTTCACTGGCTACCTGTTTTTTACCGCATCTATTTTAACATTTTAAKTATTAYTTTTAAGGCTWTATAWTATAATRTCTCGCCTAGCTATATTAGTAATTTAGTGTCTATTAAGTCCTGTTCTGTTTATTCTCTCAAAACGAATGATTCATTATTTTTAGACCGTCCCAAGGGGCGTATGCTTTCTACGTTAGGGGCTCGTTCTTTTTATGCTGCTGCCCCCACATTGTGGAACAGCCTTCCTATGAATATTCGGGAAATTAGATCACTTG